TGCATGGCAATCCCTACTCCTTGCATTTACATCAATTGATGGGCATCTCCCTAGCCCATTGATTAGCCGCGTCGATGTGAGACTTTCTCCTTTTTGTCTTCTCCACATAACCCCCTCATTATATTCTATTCCACCCATAGTGCTATATCCATGGCTCAAGCTCATGTATTGCGTGAAAGTTGAAAAAAGTTTGAGATTACTAAAGTATGAAACAATTGCTTGGCTTGTCATCGGGGTTGTGCATGATGAGAGCATTCTTGTGTGAAGAAAATGGAGCATGACCAAACTATATGATTTTGTAGGGATGAACTTTCTTTGGCCATGTTATTTTGAGAAGACATGATTGCTTAGTTAGTATGCTTGAAGTATTATTGTTTTTATGTCAATATTAAACTTTTATCTTGAATCTTATGGATCTGAATATTCTTGCTACAATAAAGAGAAATACATGATGAATATGTTAGGTAGCATTCCACATCAAAAATTCTATTTTTATCATTTACCTACTCGAGGACGAGCAAGAATTAAGCTTGGGCATGCTGATACGTCTCCAATGTATCTATAATTTTTGATTGTTCCAGGCTATTATATTATCTGTTTTGGATGTTTATGGGCTTTATTAAACACTTTTATATTATTTGTGCGACTAACCTATTAACCTAGAGCCCAGTGCCAGTGCCAGTTTCTGTTTTTCCTTGTTTTAGAGTATTGCAGAAAAGGAAAATCAAACGGAGTCCAATTGCCCTGAAACTTCACGGAACTTATTTTTGGACCAGAAGAAACCCACGGAGTATCAAAGATGGACCAGGAGAGTCCTGGGCTGCCCACGAGGGTGGGGGGCGCGCCCACCCCCTTGTGCGCACCCCCTGCCTCGTGGACAGCCCGGAGGTCCACCGACGTACTTCTTCCTCCCATATATACCCATATACCCTAAAAACTTCGGGGAGGAGAATAGATAGGGAGTTCCGCCGCCAGAAGTCTCCGTAGCCATCGAAAACCAATCTAGACCCGTCCCGGCACCCTACCGGAGGGGGCAATCCCTCTCCGGTGGCTATCTTCACCATCTTGGTGCTCTCCATGACGAGGAGGGAGTAGTTCTCCCTCGGGGCTGAGGGTATGTACCAGTAGCTATGTGTTTGATCTCCCTCTCTCTCTCGTGTTCTTGAGGTGATACGCTCTTGATGTATCGCAAGCTTTGCTATTATATTTGGATCCTATGATGTTTCTCCCCCTCTACTCTCTTTTAATGGATTGCGTTTTCCCTTTGAAGTTATCTTATCGGATTGAGTCTTTAAGGATTTGAGAACACTTGATGTATGTATTGCGTGGGATACCTGTGGTGACAATGGGGTATTCTATGATCCACTTGATGTATGTTTTGGTGATCAACTTGCGGGTTCCGTGAGAATCTATGCATAGGGGTTGGCACACGTTTTCGTCTTGACTCTCCGGTAGAAACTTTGGGGCTCTCTTTGAGGTTCTATGTGTTGGTTGAATAGATGAATCTGAGATTGTGTGATGCATATCGTATAATCATACCCACGGATACTTGAGGTGACATTGGAGTATCTAGGTGACATTAGGGTTTTGGTTGATTTGTGTCTTAAGGTGTTATTCTAGTACGAACTCTAGGGCTGTTTGTGACACTTATAGGAATAGCCCAATGGATTGATTGGAAAGAATAACTTTGAGGTGGTTTCGTGCCCTACCATAATCTCTTCGTTTGTTCTCCGCTATTAGTGACTTTGGAGTGACTCTTTGTTGCATGTTGAGGGATAGTTATATGATCCAATTATGTTATTATTGTTGAGAGGACTTGCACTAGTGAAAGTATGAACCCTAGGCCTTGTTTCAACGCATTGCAATACCGTTTGTGCTCACTTTTATCATTGGTTACCTTGCTGTTTTTATATTTTCAGATTACAAAAACCTGTATCTACCATCCATATTCTCTTCGCTGAACTAGTGCACCTATACAATTTACCATTGTATTGGGTGTGTTGGGGACACAAGAGACTCTTTGTTATTTGGTTGCAGGGTTGTTTGAGAGAGACCATCTTCATCCTACGCCTCCCAAGGATTGATAAATCTTAGGCCATCCACTTGAGGGAAATTTGCTACTGTCCTACGAACCTCTACACTTGGAGGCCCAACAACGTCTACAAGAAGAAGGTTGTGTAGTAGACATCAGACCCCAAGTAGGATTCGGCCTACTTGGGGGTGCCTCCTGGCTGCTCCCCTCTCCCCCACCTATATATATGTGGGAGTGGGGCGCCACACATAATGACGACAATCTCTTAGCCGTGTGCGGCGCCCCCCCTCCACAGTTTTGTCCCTCGGTCATATTTTCGTAGTGCTTAGGCGAAGCCCCGCAGAGATAGCTTGACCACCACCATCACCACGCCGTCGTGATGCCGAACTCGTCCACTACTTCCCATCTTGCTATATCAAGAAAACGAGGACGTCACCAAGCTGAACGTGTGCTGAACGCGGAGGTGCCGTACATTCGATACTTGATCGGTTGGATCGCGAAGAAGTTCGACTACATCAACCACGTTAACAAACGCTTCCTCTCACGGTCCACGAGGGTACGTAGACACATTCTCCCCTCTCATTGCTATGCATCTCCATGGATAGATCTTACGTGTGCATAATTTTGTTTTGTTTTTCCATGGAATGTTTCCCAACACTATTCCTATAAGTGTCACAAACAACCCTAGAGTTCGTACTAAACTAACACCATATGATACACATCAACCAACTCTAATGTCACCTAGATACTCCAATGTCACCCCAAGTATCCGTGAGTTTATTATTCAATATGCATCAAACAACTTAAGATTCATAATATTCAATCCAACACAAAGAACTTCAAAGAGTGCCCCAAGATTTCTACCGGATAAAGTAGGACGAAAACATGCATCAACCCCTATGCATAGATTACACCAATGTCACCTTGGAAATCCGGAAGTTGAGTGCCAAAACATACATCAAGGGAATCAATAGAACACACCATTGTCACCACATGTGTCCACATGCAAGACATACATCAAGTGCTCTCAAATCCATAAAAGTATTCAAACTGATAATAGTGAGACCTCAAAGGCAAAAACTCAATTCATCACAACAAGATAGAGAGGGAGAAACACCATATGATCCAACTATATTAACAAAGCTCGCGGTACATCAAGATCATTCCAAATCAAGAATACAAGAGAGAGAGAGAGAGAGATCAAACACACAGCTAATGGTACATACCCTCAGCCTCGAGGGTGAACTAGTACCTCCTTGTCATGGTGGCCGCCGGGATGATGAAGATGGCCTCCGGTGATGATTTCCCCCCTCCAGCAGGGTGCCGGAATAGGGCTCCACATGGTATTCTAAAGGTACAGTGGCTTGCGGCGGCGGAGTTGAAGTTCTAGATTAACTTTCGGGGGGTTATGAATATATAGGAATTTTTGGCATTGGTCTCACGCAAAGAGGTGCCACAAGGGGCCCACGAGGCACCAGGGCACGCCCAGGTGGCTTGTGGGGCCCCTGTGGGTCTTCTGGTGTTCACGGAAGCTTACTGGTTTTCTTTTGTTCCAAAAAATCGTCAAAAAGTTTCAGCACATTCCGAGAACTTTTATTTCTGCACAAAAACAACACCACGGTAGTTCTGCTGAAAACAACGTTAGTCTGGGTTAGTTCCATTCAAATCATACCCAAACTATACATAATTATTATAAACATGGCATGAAATTTAGATACGTTGGAGATGTATTAATACGTGGATATCGAGATTGGTAAATTACACGGCTAAAGAAGCATGATTAAAACATACTCCTGCAACCTATCTTACAAGCTAGTCTTAGAGGCATTGTCCCCAAGGAGACGTATGAAGCTATTGCCTAATTAGGAAGATTTTTTAAGGAGTTGTGTGCGAAGACATTAAGAATCGATGCCGTCGAACCATTGGAACGTGAAATTCCTGAAAGTCTATGCAAGCTTGAGAAGATCATCCCACGTGCTTTCTACCGCTAAGTAGTTTGTTTCCAGAATTGCTAGGTACTCTGTGATAGTGAATTATGCTTCACATGTGATATATTTAGATTATGATCCAATGATAATAATGTCTGAATTTGATGTTGGTGGCTCAAAATGGTGTAATGCCACCACTTGGGCTACAAAATATTGCATGATAGCATTTTGATCCTATTTTTCTTCCCATGGTTCATAAATGATGCGATGGCAGCAAAATTGGGTACAACATGCTACCAAATAAAAGAAAACCTTTTTCTTCTCGATTTTTTTGGCCACTAGTGTGCAAAGCAGGGCAAACACACTATGTTGATTCGCTATTAGGAGTGATCAACTTGGGACAAATGCTACTAGTTGAGCTATTATTAGCGACGTTTAGGTTGGACGCTACTGGTAGGTTATTCATTAGCAGCATTTGGAGCACACACTGCTAGTTGTAAACTACCAGCGAAAGTAGGTGGCGTTCGCGTAGAACAGTGCTAGTAGGAACTTAGAGATGCTGCTAATGAGGGGTCACGTACTAGTGTGAGAACTCTCTCAAGATATCCATGAAGAATAAAAATATTGAACAACAATCTAGGTGAGGTGACGTCAAATATAGTTGACTAATGTGTTTTTGAAGATCCCTTTGTGCGAAATTTCATCTAGACATTCAAATTATAGTTTATATCTTAATTAAGAAGTTTGTTTGCTCATTAAATGGTGATGTTTTTCTTTTGGATTAAGATCTTATTATTGGAATCTACTAAACATACATATGCCGTTCTGTTATATATTTTAAAACTTATTTTTTTTATATTCTAATTCTTTGTTCCATTACAACTCTTTCTATGGATAATTTTAGTTTGTCACAAGTATTACTTCAAACAAGTTTATCCATTGCAACATAAGCGGCGTCCATTATTTCTTCACTGCAACATAAGCACTATATCTCAAATGACGGGACATGGCCCACATATGGACTAGGTATGGAAGTTTCACTACTTTTCTTCCTTCGTTTGTGATTCCACTGAAGACACATGTAGCTGCGGGGTTGGCATGCTTGAGCCCGTGGACTCGAAGGACAACCGATTTGCAATTTCTTGGTTGATCCGCATCAACTCTTGGTAGTACTCCTTGCACTCCTCATGGTTAAGATCCTCTATGTTCATGAAGAGATACCTAGAAACAGTTCCAACGCTCTCTTCCTTGGCCTTCTCAAAGCGTTCATTGGTCTCTTTTGCTCTCTGTTTTTCCACCACAATCTCTCTTTCTAACCGGGCTACCTCCTCTTGCAACAACGCAATCCTTACCTTCTTCGCCTCATACTCGACCTTCCCCACACCCGACCTCCTCCCTCTCTTTGGCATACTGGAAGTGGATATGATCTAAAGTGATTTGTGACTAGATGACTAGAAGTATCCTTCTCGAGATATTGCTCTTGGGGAAGACACGAGTTATGGTTTGAAAGAGGGGATGGTGACCCTTTATATAGATGGAAGTGGGGTCCAAAGCAAAACCTTTTATCAATGTCCTCTAAAGAAAATATGCTACACAACAACAAAGGTTTTAATTATTTTCTAAACATAGGTTGTTGGATAAGGACACATCAAATTAATCACAGAAAAATGTATGTACACATTTAAAGCATTTGAATTTTTGGCTAAAAATATGCTACACGACAATGAGGGATGTAATTATTTTCTAAACAAAGATCATCGGATAAAGTCACTTGAAATTAAGCATGGAGAAAAGCATGTAGACATTTGTATCTCATGCATTATACCGATATGTGTCCAATGTATCTACAAATTAGCATGTTTCTGGATATTAACCTTTAGTTATGCATTTTTTGTGTTTTAAAAGCGACGGACTGCATAAAAAAGGTTGCTATCATAAGGGGTAATATAAAGTGACGTTCCTTTACATTAAGAGCTTGCACATCCAAAAATAGAAAGCGCATGCGAACCTCTGCTTCCCTTTGCGAAAGACCTATCTTTTAATTTTTTTGTATTTATTTTTATGCAAGAGTCAATAATGTTTATCCCTATTCCTTTCTATGTACTCTTTAATTGGCAAGCATAATGTGGTGGGGAAAGATCCAGTTATATATATCCAGTTGGATGTAGGTGAACGTGAGTTATTATTGTTGAAATTATCCTCGAGATAAACAAGTTGGGTGGTGAACATTATAAACCCCCATTTTCCTATGTGTTTGACTGAAACTTTTGCTCTATATATATGTCATGAGTGTCAGTAATCATAGAAGACTAAATGATAGTTGAGTATGTGAACTTGCTAAACAAAGCTCTTATATACACTTTTTCTGAAAATATGATGGATTGTGATTGTTTCAATGACTGATATCTAGTTTGTTAGTTCTCAATAAAGTTTATGTTTCATACTTTAGTTTGTGAATGAATTGTTACTTTAGCATGAGAAGTTTTATGGTGATATATTGCTGCTATGATAATGACCATGATGCTTTCATCTTTGTATTTTATTTTTCTCGACACCTCTCTCTCTAAGCATGTAACCATGATTATCGATTTTGGCTTTCGCTTGAGGACAAGTGTGGTCTAAGCTTGTGGGAGTTGATACATCCATTTTGCATCATGTTTCCCTACTGTTATTTCTTATGTTTTGGATTTTTATTTCACTTTATGATGCAATTATTATGCCTTTTCTCTCCTATTTTGCAAGTTTCACATGAAGAAGGAGATTATCGGCAGCTGGAATTCTGGACCAGAAAACACTATAACAGAGATATCTATTCTACACAACTACAAATGACCTGGAAATTTACAAAGAATTATATTGGAATATATAAAAATTGTGACGGAAGAAATATCAGGAGGGGATCCACCAGGAAGCGACAAGCCTGGGGGAGGCCCTACCCCCTGGCCCCCCAAGCTTGTGGGTCACCTGGCAGGCCTCTGGTGCTCATCTTCTGCTATATGAAGCCATTTGCCCTAGAAAAGATAAGAGCAGGACTTTCAGGACGAAGCGCCGCGTCTTGAGGCGGAACCCGAGCAGGAGCACTTTTGTTCTCCGGGGAGCGATTCCACTGGGGATACTTCCCTCTGGGAGGGGGAAATTGAAGCCATTGAAATCACCAATGATCCTCTCATCATGGGAGGACCGATCTTCATCAACATATTAACTAGCACGATCTCATCTCTAACCCCAGTTCATCTCTTGTATTCAATCTCGATGCGGAGGAAGGCCTCGCAAACTATAATGAAGGAGGTGAGGTGGAGGATAGAGTTTCGGGCTAGATGGTGGAAATCGAGCCCGTAAAAGAACATGACCCCGCGCACGAAGGGGTGCAGCGGGAACCCCAGACCACCCTCTCCCCTGGATTGGGAGCGGGTACCCATTGTTTTGGGTTTGGCACTCAGGTGTTGACCTCAGCGGGGATTTACCCCATGCCACGCAGCTCCAAGATGGCTCCCTTCGTAAGGAGGAACCAGCCCAGTGCCCCTTGAGCTTGGCGTCTGCCATTGCTAGGGATGGAGACTAGGATGCATTACGTAGGATCGGGCCAAGATTAGATCTGGGTGGTGGAGGTCGAGTGGTAGCAGGCGAGGAGAAATGAGAGCATGCTTTTTCCGTCGCTATCTCTTTACTCTTATATAGGCTGATAAAAGGCCAATAGTCCCTCTGTGCCATTGAAATCGCTACTCCCCACAAAAGATGTTGTTATGTGTACGGGGAGAAACAAAATCTTAATGACATCCCTAAGAAAATGGGCACGATCTCCATTTTGATGGGACATGCCTATAAAAAGATTGCCTCCGGCCGTGATTTGGATGAGCAGTAATTCCTCGTCAAGTCGTGGGTGGTGCCGCTTCGATAAAGATGTCAGGCTAGAAAGCACTGTCCACACCTATGCGGCAGGCCTTCGTGGTTAAGTAACCTCGCGTCTTCGGGCAGTGATACGTCTCCAACGTATCTATAATTTTTTATTGTTCCATGCTATTATATTTTCAATCTTGGATGCTTTATATGCATTATTATGCTATTTTATATCATTTTTGGGACTAACCTATTAACCTAGTGCCAAGTGCCAGTTGATGTTTTTCCTTGTTTTTGCCTTACAAAAAATCAATACGAAACGGAGTCCAAATGGAATGAAACTTTTTGACAATTTTTCTTGGACCACAAGACACCCTGGAAGCTTTAGGAGGAGGAGGCCAGAAGAGCCAAGGGGTGGCCACAAGCTCACAGGGCGCACCCTCCAAGCTTGTGGGCCCCTCGTGGCACTTCCAACCTTAATTTTTATTCTATAAATACCCAAATATTCCTCGTAGACCAGAGGGCACACCAAAAATACTTTTCCTCCACGGCAAGTTTCTGTTCTCGCAATATCCCATATGGAGGCCTTTTCGGGTACTCTGCCGAAGGGGGATTCCACCATGGAGTGCTTCTACATCAACCTTGCCGACCTTCTGATGATGTGTGAGTAGTTTACCATAGACCTACGAGTCCATAGCTAGTAGCTAGATGGCTTCTTCTCTCTCTTTGATCTTCAATACAATGTACTCCACGATGTTCTTGGAGATCTATTTGATGTAATCTTCTTTTGCAGTGCATTTTTTTAGATCCGATGAATTGTGGGTTTATGATCAGATTATCTATGAATATTATTTGAGTCTTCTCTGAACTCTTTTGTGCATGAATAAGATATCTTTGTATTTCTCTCCGATCTATTGATTTGGTTTGGCCAACTAGATTGATTTTTCTTGCCATGGGAGAGGTGCTTTGAAATGGGTTCAATCTTGCGGTGCTTATTCCCATTGATAGAAAGGGACATGACACATATTTGTATTGTTTACATTAAGGATAAAAAGGCGGGGTTTGTTCATATTGATTGGATATATCCCTCTAAATCATGTCATCTTGCTTAAGGCATCACTCAGTTCTTGTTAACTTTATAAACTAGATGCATGCTGGATAGCGGTCAACGTGTGGAGTAATAGTAGTAGATGCACGCATGAGTCGCTCTAGTTGTGACGGACGTTGAGGGAGTCCTGGATTAGGGGGTCTCTGGACAGCCGGACTATATCCTTTGGCCGGACTGTTGGACTATGAAGATACAAGATTTAAGACTTCGTCCCGTGTCCGGATGGGACTCTACTTGGCGTGGAAGGCAAGCTAGGCAGTACGGATATGTATATCTCCTCCTTTGTAACTGACCTTGTGTAACCCTAGCCTTCTCCGGTGTCTATATAAACCGGAGGGTTTTAGTCTGTAGGACAACATACAATCATACCATAGGCTAGCTTCATCAAGAGGGCCCGAAGTAGATCAACATACAACCCTAGCCTTCTCGTGGTAGATCAACTCTTGTACTACTCATATTATCAAGAACAATCAAGCAGGAAGTAGGGTATTGCCTCCATCAAGAGGGCCCAAACCTGGGTAAACATCGTGTCCCCTGCCTCCTGTTACCATCCGCCTTAGACGCATAGTTCGGGACCCCCTACCCGAGATCTGCCGGTTTTGACACCGACATTGGTGCTTTCATTGAGAGTTCCACTGTGTCGTCGCCATAAGGCTTGATGGCTCCTTCGATCATCGCTAGCGATGCGGTCTAGGGTAAGGTTTTCCTCCCCAGAAAAATCTTCGTATTCGGCGGCTTCGCACTACAGGCCAATTCGCTTGGCCATCTAGAGCAGATTGAGAGTTACGCCCCTGGCCATCAGGTCAGATTTGGAAACTTGAACTACACGACCGACATCCGTGGAGACTTGATCTTCGACGGATTCGAGCCCATGATGGATGCGCCGCACAGCCATGACGAGCATGGCGTAACTCTGCTGTCGGACTGTGTTCGGAGGATCGCATCCACAACTGCTCCGGCCATTAATCTGGGGCAAATCACGCCACCCGAGTGCGGAGGGATAGACCCCGCCATGGTGGCTGCACTCTCAGTGGCGATAGAGCCGGATACTGACTTCACCCCTCACGAGAGCTGTGACGCCGAACCACTGGATTCATCTCGGGCCACGGACTCCGAGTCGCTCACATTCGTACCTGTTGAGTTCGACTGGGCACCGATCATGGAGTTCACCTCCGCGGATATCTTTCAGCACTCACCTTTCGGAGATGTGCTAAATTCATTAAGGTCTCTCTTCCTGTCAGGAGAACCTTGGCCGAACTATGTCCGGCTAGAATGGGATACGGACGACGAAGAAATTCGCTGCCCACCCACCACGCACTTGGTAGCCACTGTCGACGACTTAACCGACATGCTCAACTTCGACTCCGAAGACATCGACGGCATGGACGACGATGCAGGAGACGAACAGGAACCACCGCCCACAGGGCGGCGGACCACCACTTCATCACATGAAGTATACATGGT